ACGCATGCGCACTTCCCCAGTCCCGGATGCTAGTCGCCTTGGCAACGCCGCTCGGGGGCTCTCTGACGTCACCGCTCCTGCGCCCGGCCGGGGGCGGGGCAACTGCAGACTCGTCGGAGGTGCTGGACTCCACGAGTTCACGTCATCGGTGCCACGCGGAAGCTCGCTCCAGCGAAGGTGCTAGCTTGGGGGTCGCAAGCTGGTGTCTCCCGAGTGCGTTTTGCTTGGTTAGCAGTGTTGTTTGGGATTTTAAAATGTCTTCACGCTATGGTACAGCCAGTCCCTTAACTTCTTGGGAATTTCCTGGGAGCAATGCACAGTGCAGTAAACGTATTATTAAATTGTGCGTCAATTATAGTGTGATGAGAACTCCCAGAGAGCACAGAGTATAGAGCGGAGAGACAGACAGTCACCAAATAATTACAATACAATTATGATAATATCAGTGCTGGGATGCTAGGACGTTCCTGTGGGAACTCAGGGAGGCAGTTGCCAATTCCAGCTGGGCAGGGTGGGAACAGGAGAAAGTTTTGTACAGGAATGACTGTAAGAGCTTGTTTGTTCTATTGGGGGGCCACTTGGTAGAGTATATGACTGTCTAACCACTATGCTGTACACCTGAAATTAATACAAAATAATATTGAATGTAAACTGTAACTGAAAAATAAAATTTAAAGAAAAAGCTTGTTCTTGAAAGAAAAGTAAATTTCAAAAGAAGTGCAGGAGAAAGGGCATTCCAGACAGAGGAAACCCCAAATATGAGTCAAGATTTGAGAACTATTAATGGCTTGTTTTTAATTGATAGCAAGCACAGAGAGGATGCCACGTACTGTTGTAATGGCTTTGCTTATATCAACATACGCAAATCTTATAACCCAGACTGGAGGGGAGACACTGGAGGCCAAAACGTTTGGAATGCGACTGGAGTGAGGTACCAGGGTGAGAAGACAAGGCCTAAGCCAGGGCCAGGGTCATGGGCATGGAGAAGGAAGCAGACGCTGGGAGCCTGGCAGTGAAAAGAGGGGCTTTTCCTGGACCTGCCAGCCTTGGCTGGGTGGTCAAGCCATGGAGATTCAAGTCTCCCTGGGGCTGCCTGACACACCTTTATAGGGTGGTTCAAGTTAAATAAACTAATAAGGCCCACTGAGTGTCGTCAGTGACAGCAGTTCATTTTGGCAGTGGTCCATCACGTAATCCCTCTCCCCATTTACTCCCTGCTCTCTGCCTTCCTGAAGGCAGGGTCCATGTGTGTCTTTCACCACTATATCCCCAGCACCTAGAGCATTGCCTGGAACATAAAAAGTTCTCAGAAAATACCAATTGACTGATTTAGGTCAAGGCTGAAGCCATTCCCATCCCCACCTGCGTGGTAGGAGAAAGGTAGTTTCCCCACACCCTCGTTAAGACTGCAGGTCATGCTGTTTTAAATTTTGGCCAGATAAGCACAGATAGTATTCTCTCTTCCTTCTCTTCTGGGCTGACGCAGGAACTCATCCCTCCTGTGAGAAATCTTCCTTCCATCAGCTCTTTCAGTCCTGCCATACCCGTTTTCCTCCCTTCCTCGTGTTCCCACATACTCTAAGTTTTATGAGCAGAGCGCGCTCTCCTGTTGCGCATCCGCACTACTTAACGCATTGTATGCGGAAAACGTATCTATACGTTTTTCGTTGACTGGTAGAGCGCGCGATAAAAACTACCCGCAAACAATGTTTAAAAGCACCTCCAATGTGGGTGGCTCTTGCCTAGCGCCAGTGCGTAGCAGTTGCTATGGAGACGACTCTTCATTTCCAGAGGTGACGGTTGCCCTAGAGATGCACGCTGGCGATGGTTAGTTTTCAGAATGTAGCGGGTCTACCGGAAACGAACTGTGTAGCCTTCTCCTCCATCCCGCCTCCCGAAACCGGAAGCCTTTGACATCAGTGTACCCCAAGCGAAAGCCGCCCGGGACCCCAGGGCTCCTTCGGAAGACAATCGCCCAGAGGAGGCAGAATCCCACTGCGCTCTGGGAGGTGTAGTTCATCAGGGAGTCTGCGCAGGCGTAGAGGCACGCACGGCACCCGGGCTGCGCGCGCAGCGACACAGCGGTCGTGGGGACTTACCCGCAGGCAGTGAGCTCTGCAGGGAGGCCGACCCGACGTCCAAGACCCAATTGCCAGGTACTGGACGACCCTGTCTTTGGACAGAATTGCGGTCTGGGGGTGCTTAGGCCACCTAACGGGGTAGACAGGGGCTAGGTGGCGTAAGCCAATGGGGCTCCCCCTGATGCTGCCTGGCTCCCGCCTGAGGCCAGACCTGGGCAAAATTAGGGGCGGGGCTCGGAGGGCTAGGGGCGGGGCTATGAGCAGGGCTAGCGCGGGGATTGGCTGGTAAGGGAGCGGGACCTAAAGTGGGATTGAGCCGGTGTATCCGAAGTGAGCGGAACGCGCTGTTTGTCCTGAGAATCCTCATACTCGGTCCTTCTTGAGGCTTGGAGAGGTCTGGGGATTCGTCCAGGTTGTTCACGGATCTTCTCTTGCGCTTGGTTTGGGGACTCATTGGCTGAATTGAGTGGTGTGGAACCAGTTTAGTTTCTCAGGTTCTGTTTCTAAGCTTACTTTCTAAGGAAGTGTTCAGTATAAATCTATTATCATTATTGCTTTATTAGTAACGCATTTTCAATTACTTATTGCTAGGTATCATGCCAAGGTGCTAGGGTTCAAGTTTATAAATGCTAATCTTACAAAATAAATAATTAAAATTTATAGTAGTAAAATGTGTTGAGTGCTTATTATGAGCCAAGGGTAGTGTTGAAAAATAGGGGGTTACTTTTAATGCTAATAATTACTAAAAAGTATTAATTATACTGAAAGAGCTCATATTTATGCATCCTGGGTGCCAGGCACAGCTCTAAACATTCCATGCCTATTTAATCCTCACAACCTCCCAGTGGAATCCCTACTATTGTTATTGCTGTGCTATATATGAGGAAACAGGCTCACAGGGGTGATGGTGCCTGCCCAGGGTCACCAGCTGGTAAAGGACAGATTGGAGTTTTTGCTTTAGCATTGCGGTTAGGGTTCCAGGGCTGGAGCCTGACTGCTTAGGTTCAAATCCTGGCTCTAGCACTTTTACACTGAACAACAGGTAAACAGGGGAGTTTCCTTATCCCTTTGGCCAGAGTGTATCCACTTTTGTGTTTTATACAGTGAGTTCTTAGGTATGATTTCTTAAACTACCTTAACCTGCACATGAAAGAGGACAGGAAGCTAGTATGTACTAGGGGCAAGGGGTTACCTTCAGGGTGGATGCTGCAGATGGGTAAGAGGGACTTTGGTTTTGCTCTGCACATTTTTATATTGCCTGCTGTGTCTTTGTAGGGAAAATACCATGCTTTCCATGCTTTCTCCTTGATTAATTAGGAATGCACTAGAATGGAAAGTTTGTTTGTTGATGTATCAGAGACTGGTTGAAAGTGTCGTTCCCCTCCCAGTCTTTGGGAAAACAGACTTAATGCCCTCTTAAGGGATGGTTTTCACCATTCCAAGCCCTCCCCCACTAGAACACAAAAACTGGTAGTCAGGGACACTGCATGCCCAGTATCTGGCAGGCACGTGGCACCAGGCTGAGAGAAGGAACCAACACTTTCAGACTCAAAACTTTAATCAGAGCACCAACATACACACAAGGGCATTTCTACCCTGGCTTATAGCAACACAGGTCATTAGTTACAAAAACTGCCCTGTCCCCCCATGGCTGATTTTCCACAGGGTCTCTGATCTATGTTTAGTGTCAAGACTCTTCATTGAATACACTTCTCAATTTAAGTTCCCAATT